AAAAAAAAAAAACTTGTATATCAAACTAACTGTAAAATAAGACAGATGATTTGATGTTCGGATGAGAAGAAATTAGCACTGAACGCATTTAGCATTGAGCAAAGTAAACAAATGAACAAACAAAGGTACATCAGTGTGAATAAGCGAAGTATGATTTTTTTTTATTTACTTACGACGGTTTTTAAAAGTCTTTAATATTGAGGTGCGTGCCCGTCGGTGATGCCGACTTATGGAACATAAGGAAATGGGCGAGCAGAAACCGTGTGTCGTTAGCTGAAACCGAGCAGCGATCTGCAAACGCACTCAGACCGCATTTTAATCACTACGCATCAGCTTACATGGAATAACCTTTCATTCCTTTTTTACAGAAACATCCTGTGCGCATTTACGCTAAGTCAAGGGTATGAATCAGTGAGACTCAAGCTGTAGGTGTAATACAGGGATCTTTAGTCACTCTCTATGAGGGTAGCGTCAGAAAGTCTCCGTTGTGTCCAAACATTCATATAATGAATCTCAGTAGCCTATATTCAATAGCTTCTGGCCACAACCTTTTTCACACCAGCAAAGTCCAAAACATTTTTTTTTAACCAAAACATATGATGTTCAATGAACATTTATCCCCTAGGACAAATAAATAAACGCAGACTCTCTGCCGTAATTGAACAGCTTCGGTCTAGGATACGGATGGCACTTTATACCTCCTGTATCCTTAGCCACCACAAGAGGGCGTTATTTCTCATCAAGCGGAGTTCAGGATCGTTGTTTAATGTGCTTGTGTACAGAGGCCTGAAGTATTGCATCGATCACAGTCTGTCAAAAGCTGAATTCTTTTCAACTTTTGATATAGTTAAAACGACATCCACAGCTGCCTTATACGGATCAGTCAATGTATGAGTCCTATAGGAAAATGTTTTGGCAGATTGTCTGAACGTGAATTTTGACTAGAACTGCGTTAAAATAAAGGTTTTAACTAAGTTCCAGGCTGAAAACATTTAAAAGAATCACTTCTGGTACGATCCAACTATATGCACTCGTACAGTTTTATATTTTATTAGATATAAATAACGTGTCTGTCAGTGTATTGACTTTTTAACAAATGTGTGACCTAGTACTTTCTTTTTCATTATTTGGAAATACTGAAATGAAATATGTGACAAACAGGAAATAACACCTAAGCGGTAATGGTTGTTTTCACTCGCAAAAAGCAATGTCTTTTCCGTCAGAACAAACACATTTAAACAAGTTTATACTCTAAATATCCTGACATTGTAACCCTCAGCCAGCGAGTACACAGCCTACAGGTGCTTCCAAACAATTTCATGAACGGTGCACTGATTTCATCCCCTACCTTTTGAGAGGTAAGCGCTGCTTGGTTTGTAGCCATTACTTGTACAGTTTATATTTTACGGTGGTTTTAAATCCTATAATGATCACAATGGTATTGTTTTAAAATACTCATTTATTAATATTACTTGAAAATATAATATATTTTAATTATAGAGCCCTACATGTCAAATAAATTTTAGAAACGAACGTGTTAGGTTGTCACAGTCATTCTACATGTCAGTATGTTATGTCAGTATGCTTGTGTTTTGCGGACTTGTTTTTACACTCCGAATGTATGTTATTTATGCGGTCTGTGCATTAAATCGAAAGTTCTCAGCTCTATATAATGCTGTTCAATTGTCACCTGTTAATTGTCATTAACTTTATAAATGTCTCTGTGTTATGTGTTCTTTGGGTTTATATACTTGACTGTTTTATGTTATTGTTTAAAACTATGAGTGTATATTTTAAGATTTTAACCATAAGCGCAAAGTAATTTGACTTTTTACGCAAAAAAACTGGCCCCGAAATAATTGATTTGACAAACAATAAGATCTATATTGCCATGTCGCCAAGCGCCACTTGCTATTGACATTCCAGTTCCGTATTACATGGCTTTAAATGCAAATGTTGAGTCTACCGGATTAAAGTGTCATTGCTGTTAGGTCATTCTCAGAACGTGACACTAGAGGGTGCACTCGCGCCGTTTTTACACGACAGGCATTCTTCCGTCGCTAAGCTCCGTGTCTGTACGACTTTAAACAGTTCCTGTAAAATAAATTGCTGTGTAAGTACATAGATTTATAAGTAAAAGTACGGGGAGAGGTTTAAATAACGAGAAAATTATTGTATAATTAACTTCTGGCTAATAAAAATGAGTAAGTTTTATGTGAACTATAAGTTTTCGGTAATAGTTTAGTTTAGGGACTTGGGATATGTTGTTGGTACCAGGAACCTGTGAGCTTGTTTTAGTCCTGAAAAGCCGACACGTGAATCTGGGTCTGTGTGTAGTACGTAGCCACTAGACCCCCCAGGACACGTTGGACATGCTGGGGCTCCAATCCAACATGTTGAAAGTTCTTTTTTTTGCCATGGATTTCCGCTTGTTTCCGCCACATCTGCAGTAATCACGAGTGTTTTTTTTAATGCTCGTACAACCGAGAAATTGTTGGATGTTTTCACAGTCTCAAGGAGGGAAAAAAAATAAGTAGATAAAACCTGATTGTGAAACTAAACAATGTTTGAAATATGCCTTTACTTGTGTGAGACTTGACTGCCTATAGGGTGTATGAGTTATCGAACAAAAGCAAGCAAACAACAGCCTGTCCAAATACAAAGAAAATGTTTTGTAAAAACATATAGAGCCAGAAGCACAGGGCAGACTGTCTTGCGTGATTAGCACTGACATTGTGTTATGACCTTTTAATGAACAAAAAAGAAAAGAATAAAATTAAGCAAGGAAAAATCTCAGTGTTTTCTGTCACAAAATGACCACCGTGGTTTTAAATGGTTCTGTGCATTTCGTTTTATTATTTGATATTTTAAGGGTTTTCTGGAAATCTCCAAATTCCAGTCACATTTGCCCTATCAGATCTGAACAAATTCTCTTAATTGCATCAGCCCCAGTCCTTTCTGTTGGTGACATCAAATTGTGGTTTGAGTGTCTCCTCTGCAACCTGCACTTTGACCTGGGGCCTGACAGATGGGCCCTGTATCAGAGGCGGAAACTGGTGCATTTATGCAGTTCTAAGTCTCCCAGGAACTGAAAGGGTCACTACCAGGAACTGCTTCTCACTCTGACTGGAAATCTGTTACTCAGCCCTTGAATCGCTAATGCGTGGCTATAAGCCGACAGGAGGCACCTAGTTTGATTGGCTGCTGTCAGAGATAAGGGAGCGGGTCGGGTTGGAAACAGACCAGGACTCTAAATGCATTCCTCAGATGGTGACAAACGTGCGTGTGTGTTTGCATAGATCACATTTAGGCACCAAAATGTCCCCAAAGTATGGTAAAACCTGAAACTTCCTTATTTTTGAGGACATTTTTCAGGTCCCCATTTGGATGATCTCAATTTTATAATTTTTTTTTTTTAAATGCAATCAAAAAAGTAAAAATGCCAAAAGTCTTGTATTTTGTTTGGCTACTTTTGCTTACGGTTCGGGCTGGGTGGGGGTTAAGGGTGTCGTGATTTAGATTGGGGTTTTTCCCATAGAAATTTATGGAAGGTCTCAGTTTAGATAGGTATGCCAGTGTGTGTGTGTGTGTGTGTGTGGGTGTGTGTGTGTGTGTGTGTGTGTGTGTGTGTGGGTGTGTGTGTGTGTGTGTGTGCGCGCGTTTCAGCTGTACAAATAAGTCACAGGAAGTGCACACAGTAAAACAATTAGCACCATCATAAATCTTACTGGGAAATCGCATTTATTGGTACATAAAATTCACAATGGAGACAAAAATATTCTGTCCTGATGCTGCTTTAGAATTCACTGGCATTGTGCTTTTTGCATTTCTAATGAAGGCACCTGTAGAATAGAATGAAGGTTGTAATTAAGCCTCATGAGTTACTCAGAACTTCTTCACACTTGACTGTTGGAGTCAGTTTCACTGTGCTCACATCCCAGGACAGGATGGAATGTCTCAAATATTAACCCCACACTTTCTCCACTTGCCAGATGACCTGCATGCAGGTACTGCTGTTTTTGAGGCTATTTTACAAAAACCTGTTTTTCTGCTGCTATTCATCTGTTTCATTATTATGGTTTTGATGTCCAGGTGGCAGGATTGTGCAGGTGGTCAGTCCTGTTGCCTCACACCTCTGGAACCTGGGTTCGAGTCTTTGCCAGCGTTCCATGTTTGTGCAGTTTGCATGTTCTCCCCGTGTTGTCGTGGGGTTTCCTCTGGGTACTCTGGTTTCCACCCACCATCCAAAAACATGGTGAAGCTAATTGGAGTTACTAAATTGCCTGTAGGTGTGAGTGAGTGTGTGCATGTGTGAGTGAATGGTGAGTGTGCCCTGCGATGGATTGGTGGCCCATCCTGGGTTGTTCCCTCCCTTGCGCCCATAGGCTCCAGACCCCTCAGCAACCGTGAAGAGGATAAGCAGTTTCAGAAAATGGAAGGATGGATTTTGATGTCTCAATGACACTTTCTTTCAGACTGCCTTACCGGTTAATGCCACTTGGGGCAGTGTAGGTTAAAAAGGGTGCATCAGAGGCGATTGCTTCCTGAAGCTGGTTACGGGATTATCAGGAGTGCGCAAAGCTTAGGCTTGACTTTATTGATCCCCTTGGGGTGGAAATTCCTTCAGTCGAGCAG